CCCCTTCTCCTGCTGTCGTGTACCTGTCACGTTAATAAACGTCCACTTGCCCTGCATACCTGGATCCGTGTCTCCTTCCCGGGCCAACCGTTACAGAATACTTCGCCTTAGGATGGATCCAGCAGGGAACCTGGAGTCTTGAGTCGCCGCCATGGAGCAACTCCTTACCGCTCAAGCTGCCCAGGTGCCTCTTCCTGCCTCCCCTCCACGTCCCACCGCCTCCCCGCCTATTGCAATCCCTGAGAGGTACGATGGCAACCCAGATCAATGTAAGGGTTTTCTAATGCAATGTGGTATGTACTTGGAGGAACACCCGGAGATGTTCACCTCCCCGGGGGCTGAAGTGCGGTTTGCCGTCTCCCTACTTACGGGCCGAGCTCGCGAATGGGCTACGGCTCTATGGGTGGATGACAGCCCCCTGTTGCGCTCCAGCAGGGAGTTCCATCAAGCACTTAGAGAGATATTCGATCATCCGGCCATAGGAAAACGTCCTGGGTTTAGGCTGTTGGAGTGTCGACAGGGGAATCGCTCAGCTGCGGAATTCTCTCTGGAATTCCGCACCATCGCAGCCAGCCTGAGATGGCCGGACGATTGTCTGCAAACCATTTTCCTCCGAGCTCTAAACCCCGATCTACAGGACGAGTTGTCCGGCAGAGGGGAAGCACCATCGTTTGAGGAATTGGTTCGCCAGGCGGTCCGTCTAGACAACACGGTGAGGGATCGCCGGCGCCGAAGGCAAGCAGAGAACACTAGAGCTTCGGCTCCGCCCAGCGACACTGCTGAACCCATGCAGTTGGGCCGGTCTCCGCTGACTCCATCAGAGAGACGCCGGGGAACGCAAGGGGGGCTCTGTTTATACTGCGGTGGAACAGGTCATTCCATCTCCGCTTGCCCCATTCGACCCCAACATGAGGATGTCTCTGTGCCGGTAGGTGTTTCGTCCTTACCGCTTACCTGTTTGTCACAATTCACGGTACCTGTGATGTTGGGAGGAAATGGGCGCACATGTTTAGTACAAGCTCTCATTGACAGTGGTGCCACGGGTAACTTCATAGACATCAAACTAGCTCACCGGTTGCACTTACCTCTCCGGAGACTGGCTTATCCCATTACAGTCCAGGGGGTGACGGGAGAAAGAATGCAGGAGGGAACCATCCATCATCGGACACACCCTTTGGTGATGCAGGTGGGAGCACTACATATTGAGACCGCCGAAGTCTTTGTTTTGCCCCAGACCAAGGATCCTCTGATTCTAGGGCTCCCCTGGTTGCGTAAACACAACCCCCGAATTGAGTGGAGAACTGGTGAAATCACAGCCTGGTCTGATCGATGTCTGCATGAGTGCATGTTTCTGCCCTGTAGAGCTACTACTGTGGAGAGTCCTGAACCGGAAAATCTCAATGTAATTCCTCGAGAATATAGTGAATATCAGGACGTATTTAGTAAGGATAAAGCCTTCCAACTTCCTCCCCACAGAGACTGTGACTGCGCCATCGATCTTCTGGAAGGCGCAACTCTTCCCCGGGGGCGGTTATACCCCGTTTCACTGCAGGAAGAGGAGACGTTGGAGACCTACATTCGGGACGGTCTAAAACAAGGCATAATTCAACCCTCCACTTCACCCGTAACGGCGGGATTCTTTTTTATAAAGAAGAAAGACGGGGGGCTGCGACCGGTGGTGGATTACCGTTCGCTGAACGCGATTACCATCAAGAGAAGGGAGCCTCTTCCCTTAATTCCTTCCTCTCTCGAACAGTTGCGCGAAGCAGTGATATTCACTAAATTAGATCTACGCAGTGCCTACAATCTGGTTAGAATACGAGCCGGTGACGAATGGAAAACCTCTTTCGTCACCAGTAGGGGGCAGTTCGAGTACTTAGTTATGCCGTACGGGTTGGCCAACAGCCCGTCGATATTCCAGTCGTTTATGAACCATGTATTCCGAGACATGATTCATAAATTCGTGGTGGTATACATAGATGATATCCTGATTTACTCTCCGTCTATGCAGGTTCACGTGCAGCATGTACGGCAGGTGTTGCAGAGATTACGGGACCACCACCTGTATGTAAAAGGGGAGAAATGTGAATTTCACCAATCCAAAGTGAAATTTCTAGGCTATGTAGTCCAGCCGGGAGAGGTTGCTATGGACGTTCAAAAGATCGAAGCGATACGGGAGTGGCCTCAACCTAGAACCTTGAGAGAACTGCAACGTTTCCTGGGTTTCGCTAATTTCTATCGCAGGTTTATTAGGAACTACAGTCATATTGCTGCACCTCTCACCTCTCTCACTCAAGGAAAGCCGGTTCGGCTTACCTGGATGCACGAAGCCGGGCTCGCCTTTTCTCGTTTGAAACGGGCCTTTTGCTCTGCTCCAGTCCTAGCCCAACCCCGACCCGATCTTCCCTTTGAAGTGGAGGTGGACGCATCTGAAGCCGGAGTAGGAGCGGTCCTCATCCAGAGGGATCCTGATACGGGTCGACGTCACCCCTGCGCTTATTACTCCCGGAAATTGACGGCAGCAGAAAGGCACTACGAGGTGGGTGATAGAGAGCTGTTAGCCATGAAATTGGCCTTGGAAGAATGGAGACACTGGCTCGAAGGGGCATGGCACCCCTTCCTGGTATTGACCGATCATCGGAATCTGGAGTAGCTCAACGTATCCCTCAGTCTGACGTCGGCATACCATCCTCAATCAAACGGGTTGGCGGAACGCACCAACCAGGAGATTTCGAAGGCCCTCCGCTTGCTCTGCAGAAATGACCCGACTGAGTGGTCTACTCAGCTGGTGTGGGTTGAATATTCCTTGAATTCCCGGGTGAGTCCTGTAACTAAACTGACCCCTTTTCAGTGCGTGTTAGATTTCCAGCCTCCCTTATTCCCATGGGATGCTCCTCCGGGACCAGTCCCTCGTGTGGAGGTCTGGTACCAAGAGAGCAAACGAGCCTGGCGACGCGTCCAAACAGCCCTGCACACCCAGGCTGATCGACTGAAGACCCATGCCGATCGACACCGGCAGCCCGGTTTCCCTTACCGAGTGGGACAACGGGTATGGCTGTCAACAAAGAACCTCAAGATCCCTGGATGCCGTAAGCTGTCCGCCCGTTACATCGGACCGTTCCGTATACTGAAGATAATAGGACCGGTGTCGGTGAGACTACAGCTGCCACGAGTGTATCGGATCTGTCCTACCTTCCATATATCCCTCCTTAAGCCTGTGAAATACAGCTCCTTGTGTCCGGCGCCCGAGCGTCCTGAAGACGTGGCCCCTCCAGTGGACGAGGAGACTTCTTCCCGGGCGCGCTCAGTCTTGGATTCCCGAAGGCGACAAGGGCGGCTGCAATACCTGATCGACTGGGGGGGTGATGGACCGGACGAACGCAGCTGGGTGCCGGCGTCTTCCCTCTCCGAACCGGCATTGGCGACAGGGGGCGGCCGTCAGGGGGGGGGACTGTCACGTCACCGGGGGTGGGGACAGACAAGTGCCAACTATCCGGAAGTCATTAGCATCATTATAAAAGGCAGATGCACCAGGTCTGCCATGCGAAGTATTGCGCTGATGATTCCACGCCTTACCAAGCACTTTTCTTGTCCTCCGTCTCCCNGCCATACCTCTAGCATGTCCCTTGATTAGACAAAGGGTGATGTGTCAAAGTTTGACACTTTATAGCATTGTTTGATTACTACTGGTTTATAAAATGTTGTCTGTCTTCCTACTCTGATTATGATTTGTATTCGATACGCATTTTGCTATGGATTGTTTTGACCTTCGCCTGTACTTGACCTACAAATCTTGGATTACAATTTGTGCCTGTCATCTTGTATTACAGTTCATTAAACCTTTTTTCTAACCATCAAATTGTGGATCTTTGGCCTTTCAAAATTTCAACTACTGTATTTTTTTATAATATTTTCAGGTAAGACTTTTGTATTCATAGCCTCAAGTACAGGAAAGGCTATCATGAAAATATGTATTATTTCATCATGGACACAATATACAAAATAAACAAAAGATCTTAGCGCAAAGTAATTATTTTTGTAACATAGTATGTATGATGTGGGCTGTATTGTGGCTCATTGTGTGCTCTTTGCCCCACATCCTCCTGGGTTACAGGCTGAAATCCTACCTTTTATCTCTGCATGGTGGTGTTTACATGCTCTTCTCCTGCTGCACAAGTTTCTTCCCACAGCTCAAAACCATAACTTTAGGCTACGTTGTGTGTACTGGTACTAGGGGTGTAAATCACAGATTTCCTCACGATACGATACAATATCGATTCCTTAAGGCAACGGTTCTGTCTTGACCTGCTCGTACGATCCTTCCGTGTGCCACGCCCCCCTCGTTACCTCGTGTGAATTCCTGATTGTATTCAGCTGTTTCGTGTTATTTCTGAGTAGTCCTGTGTATTTAAGTCTGCGTTCAAGTCTGTTTCCCCAGTTCCGTCATTAATGTCTCAATCATCTTAACTGTCGTCCCCTTTACGGCGCCCCTACCCACATCATCAAAATCACAGGCTTTTATCACATTGTGGGGACATTCATGTGACATCTGCCTTGTCCACACACATAAGCAGGCAAATTAATTAGACTAAATGACTGGTTGGTTTTGAATTCTGGTTTGTGCCTTATTTTTGTACACATACATGCACTTCATACATCCACAATATTTAGAAGGTCAGACATACCCACCTCAGCTACTTGCCCAGGACTCTCGCCTAGTTGGTAACCATTCTACACTTAATGTGGTAGATGTGTGGGTTTTTAGTGGCAGTGACTAGCAACTGGTTTGGAATAATACATTGCAGGCTACACTGCAGTGTATCAGCTTGTTTGGACTATGCAGTTGACTGCATTGTTATTTTGTCAGCAATGCACTCTAAACTATTCACATCTATTGGCATTTTTGCTTGTTCACAAAATTGCTCTGAAGAGAAGAAAAAGCCATGTATATGATCAAATTGGTTCTGAAACACAATATGGATCATTCTCACAAACTCAATACCATAACATTAGCTATCATGTTTCACTATAACTTTTAAAATTAGCTTGACAATAGACTTTCATTATATTATTGTCTAAAATGTCAATTTTGCCTCCGCTGTAGTTAATCGGTTGTGAAGTAAAACAATTGACAATACTAAATAATTGAGGAAATGAATATACATCTTGCTACATTGATTGATTGTGGGTTACTTGCAGTAAAGTGGTATTTTATATTAAAACAGTAGTATTTTGGGGGGAATACGTTTGATGAATCATTAAAGCAGAGCTATAAATGATATGATTTTAATATACTTAAAGTAAAATGGGGGTGCCTCACACCTCTGGGACCCAGGTTTGTGTCTCTGCCAGGGCTCAGTGTGTGTGGAGTTTGCATGTTCTCCTCATATTGTTCTGGAGTTTCCTCCGGGTACTCTGGTTTCCCGCCACAGTCCAAAAATATGCTGAGGCTAATTGGAGTTGCCACATTGCCCATAGGTGTGCGAGGGTGAGTAAATGGTGTGTGAGTGTGCCCTGTGATGGGTTGGCACCCCATCCTGGGTTGTAGCCTGCCTTGTAGCCCTAGGCTGCGCCACCCCCCCCCCACAACCCTGAACAGGATAAGGAAATTCAAAAGCTGGATGGAAGTTAAAGTCAGCAAATGTCAGTTACTCTGCACAACGTTCAAACACTGCATTTCACAGTAACATTTTGTTTCTTGTCGCAGGATTCTCATGTTTGTGAAAATGACGATATACTGTAAGCATTACAGGCTCCCGCTATGCTTTCATTTTTACAATTAAAGGGTTTCTGCATATTTCAGTTAGGATCACAATGTAAATGAAATAGTCCATGAGGGCGTAACCCCCTTTGCTTCTTCATCAATTAATTCTGCTTCTTGCATGGGCCGCATCTTTATTCAGGTTAAATGCGGTGGGTGTGTTTGCAATCATGAGGAGACAATAAGCTTAACTCAGACACGCATATACTTTTTAAGGGTTTTTTTGACTTAAGTGCTTTATGGGAGAATTGACCCCCATGTCACAGAATTAGAATTTTAAGCAAATGTTCTGTGACCCTATACTGAATAAGCAGTTTGATGGATGGATGGATGGATGGACAGAGAAAGAAAAATTGAGACCAGATGGTCTAAACGTCAGTCTTCATTGTTCTTCCTAATACTGTAAATTTCACCAAGATATAATTATCACCGCTGTTCAGTTGCTCCATGCTAAATGCATTCACTAGGCCTACATGCACTTATGCACATATATGTTATTATTACAGATAGTACGTACGATTCTGTTTGTTTATTTACAATTTTTGTAAATAAACAAACAGTTACAGAGCTTATAGAATATTTCTACATATTATATCAGCCTAAAAAGAAGAAAATATTATTCTCTTAAACCCCAAAAGCATCATTCGCTGTAGAATTTCTGTCATTTCTGCCATAAGCTGTCAAATTGCAATTTAAAATGGCATCATGGGACATAAGGTACCTTCATGATTGACATATTATTTTTCTCAAATCCCAAGGCACTTTGGTCATTTTAAATCTAGCGTCCTGAGTAAAAATGTTTTATGTTGATCGCTCCAAAAATATTACCAGTGCCTTCAGGGAAGCAGGAGGTTCAGGTTTTTTTTAATCTGCCTTTTGAAGTCATTCAACATGATTAACAGGAATGTTACACCATTGAGTCTCTAAATCCAATTGTTTCAAATGCATATCCAACTATATGAAAGAAGAAAAATTTGCAAGAATGTAAAATTGTCCTCAGGAATGGTTTTTAAAATAATGTTAAGTGTAACAGGCCCCGGCCACAGATTTTAACCCTGTAAAACAGGATAAATAATGACGCAAAGGAGACTTACTGCCATTCGTCTGGTCGGTCCTTCCAGAATGGCAAGCTTATGACAGCCACGCCATCACAGCAGTACCCCATAATGGTATATATGGTACATAATGGTACATAATGGCATGTATGGTACATAATGGTATGTATGGTACATAATGGTACATAATGGTATGTATGGTACATAATGGTACATAATGGT